ACAGATTTTTCTGCGACGATAGTTTTATAGTTTATATACTCTATCCAGAAATGGAAATCAACCTCATTTAGTTCTCGTCTCAAACCACTTTGCTTAGCTAACATGCTCCAATAGAGGGCATTGCGGGGTTAAGCGGGCGGAATAACTTGTAGCATTTTGTTTGTGGCCGAATTGACGACACGTGACCTGGTCACGTGGCGGAGACGCCCTAGAAAGGCGGCAAATCGGCGTGTCAACTCGCATGTAATCACAACAAAACATGTGGCCGTGACTCGCTCCGGCTATCGGGTAACTAATATCTGGCCATACAATGAAATTGCCATTAAGCGTTTAATAGTTGCCTGTTGGCACATCCCACGGCTGGACGGAGGCAGGAGGCAGGAGGCAGAAGGCAGGGTATCTGCGGTTGGCCGCGTGCCGACGCCTCATCATTCATGTGGATGTCGCTGTTTGCTGCTCGTTTAATGTTCATGTAAATTATGCGCCAAAAATTTAAATTCCAAGCATTAGAGATAACATTTTACAGAGTTTACAAACCGTGGGATTTGTTTTGCGGCAACAGCCATTAAAAAAGTGGGCAAAACAATGCGCGGCTTGTTTTTTTCTGTCCTGTCTTTACGGTGTTAGCCCAAACACGTGTTGTAATTTTTTGATGATAGTTGGGTGGAAGGTTTTTGAAAAGTTAAACATAAACAAGACTTACATTTCGAGTGACATGAGCAAAATAATCACAAATCTATGGAGTCGACTCTGTTCGGGAATAACAGAAAATAACAAAAATGCCCATTCTTTAATTACTTTACAATTCCCAATCAGTTTTCGATAAAGATTTTAAAAACAAAATGTGGCAACTTTGTAAAAATGCCCTAAAAATGCCCGACTAGCCGATTCCCTGTATTCAGCTGTGACTCGAAATATACTCTCAAATTCCGTGTTACACATACATACATAGAAACCCAACTCATACCATACGTAGTCCTTATAATCTTCGAGAAATACATAAAAAAGGACCTCAAAAATTGATATTTATCAGGGAAATCGGGAAATTATCGATAGTTCGATGACGAGTAATATCATTTGAATGGGGTCGGGTCTACGGTAGACAAATACACATAAACGCTGCCTGCTGCTGGCCCATTCGCATCTGTTTTTCCCCAGTTCATTTTCCCTACCTTATGTTCTACTCCCCCCAAACTGCACACACCCTAGCCTTAAAACGCAGGAACAAGCGAAAAATATATAGAATTGTATACAAAACAACAGCAAACGCAACTTTGATGGCCGAACTGGGTCGACATATTGTAAAACTATAAAAAATATATGTATATGTATAATTCGTGCAAATCTCAAATCGTAAAAATTGCGCAAATTTCGCCAATGCCGAAAAACCGCAACAAATTGCGTCCCAGTCGAAGGCAGCATGGCCAAGGGGGAGGCGGGTGGGCAAATTAGTGCCAAAAACACGCGAGTGAGTGCAACATAAAAATGCGACATAATGTGGCAACATGGCCGTGCTGTGCCACTCCCACTGCCGCCCCTGCCAATCCCTGCAGAGCCGGCCGGTGTCGCAGGAAAAGCTCATAAAAAATTATAGATTTTCATCTTTGCATATTTAACTTTTATCGCAGGCCGTTCTCATGTGTTGCCCAAGAAGGCGGCCTTATGCGACCGCAGCCTGAAGTAGGCATAAAACAAATGTCATACTCCGAAGGTGGTAAGAAATCACATATACGTATATCGTATATACGGGCAGACCCTTTGCCGCAAATCCGCCCCTGCCCCAGCCATAAAGGTGTATTGTGGATTTTTGCATAATCGTCAATTCCTGATTTTAAAATTTCAGCGTATAAGGGTCGCTGGCTGCCAAGCCTTGGTCAATCATAAAAATTCATTTTTATAATCTTTACATGTGTTGCAGCAACAACATCAACAGCAACAATAAATATTTATTACTATTTTACGATTGATTTTAGCTAAGGTTCAGGTATTGAGCTATTTCGCAAATAATATCATCAAAATGGGCAAAGATTTGATTGAGGCCCGCCGCAAGGCGAGATGAATGCTTTGCGAATCTTTTACACGGATTACGATTATTTCTATATTATTTAAATTAATATTCGATATATATATATGTAAAAGCTCAGCTGAAAATTGCACAGTAGTTACCTGATGTCTTGAAAGATGTAAACCCTTAACTGTTGACAAATGATGAAAAACTCGTGCATGAAAATATTTTCACGTGCTTTTTTCCAGATTCCGGATTCCAGTTTCCGCTCTCTATAATTTCCCACAGCCGTACCTTGTTAAAATACCATTGAAAACTCGGATTTATCCCTTGGCTTTATTATTTAGAATCAATTAGTTAATACAACTAAGTGAACATTGCTTGCCAATTCTTGCAATAACCCACCAGAATTATTCATAGCCACAATGCAATAGTGGAGACTATCTTGGGGCCAGCCAGGTGAACCAAGCCGGATCAAAGCATGACTCAACAAACGGACCGAAACAATTGTCGGGGCAGAACCCAAAGTATGTAAAACAGCATTTCGAACAGCCAGGTGATAAAATACCACATGGTCTACAACAGCTCCTGGGCACGGGTATACCACATCCAAAACGACAGAGCTTCATACGCATTGTAACCAGATATTGACTCGAATAATTCGCTGGATTGCTGCAAACAACTTGCACAAAGCCAAGTTATACACTGCTCTATTTTCAGCTCAAAAAGCTACCAACGACATTAGCCTAAATAATATAAGTATTTAATATTGGAATTTTGACAACAAACCAAGATTTGGCAAATTCACTTACTTGTTAAACTGAAAACAGATCGTCTCACATGTACATGAAATTTTTTGAAATTGCCGTTGAAAACTGACTCAAGGCTTACTTATCCCTTATTTCAACGGGGTAGTTTCCAGTGTAAAGCAGAAGGGTACACAAATACGATTAATTATGATCTATAATTTCACTTGGATGAGAGTATTACGAAGTCGGTTGCCGCCAATTGCAAAGTTCTTAATTCTATACTTTCGAAGGAGAGTAAAAGGGCAAAATACTGAGAGAAACAAGGAGTATCATATTGGAACAAATGATTTATAAGGCAATTAGAAGCTGATTAAAGGGTATCTCCTGGCATGCACTCTAAAGTATAGCTTACACCTCTTTGCAGCGCAAGGACAATTAAACTAATGGTAAATCGTTTAAATGATATCATAAACAAATGACAGCTTTGATTTACTTGCGTTGACAGGGAAAAGAACATTAAATAAAGTGCAGAAGCAGCTGGCATAACCCTACTAGAGCCACAGACCATGACGAGCCCACTTAAAAACTCTCTCGGACGAGTGAGGCAGTGAACCGGGAAAGGCTAAGCCGGAGAGTGGGTAAGTGGATACTGCGCATTAGCCTCACCCCGAGGCGGAACCAAAGCGGAGTCTAGCAAATGCGCAATTGCAAACATTGAAAGCTGGCACTGAAACAAGCTCTGTCCCGAGCAGGACACAAATCCGATCAATGCGCCCAAATAGAAGGCAAACGGAAACGGAAACGGAAACGGATGAGCATACAGCAATTAGTGGAGTTCAATTTGCTAGACATTTTGTTGCCCCAAAATCGAGGTAGCCACAGGTGCCGCGTTGAGTGCTTCGCACCTGCTTGGGTGGCATTAAAACGGCATTCAACGCATCCCATAAAGTGGCAATTAAAATCTTATTTTCGCTTATTATATTTCGCCTTTGCCAATGGCTTTGCCTTCGCCGTCGCCGTCGCCTTTGCCATGCGGAACGCAGCTGCAGGCACCGCCAATAAACACGTCTACAAATTGTGCTCCTGCCCAGCTTCAATTCAAAAATTTGTCGCCCGAGCTGCCACCTGTTTCCACTTTTTTTCTCACTTATTTTTTTTGGTTCGCGTAATTGAATCATTTTAGCGCCATTTATTTTCTTGCCACCCCCCACTCGCACTCTCGGTGCGGGGGCGGGCGGGTGCGTGACATTTGTAAAACAATTTCTATTTCGAAATGAAATCCGCAATAACAACAACGCTGAGAGCAGGCACATAAATAATAATGCGTTAAATTTATGCGCTGATTAATGCGAAGCAGTCGATCAACAAAAGCGAGCGGAAACGGAAATGGTAACTTTTTATGCTCAGGTGCTTCCAGCAGCCAAAAGAACAAGTTCATATGAATATTAAGCTAACAGCCGGAGAACCTCGAATCTACATTAGAACAATAAATTCAAAGAATTCAGATTGATTTTCATATATAAATAAATTAGGGTCTGAGTTTCTGCTGCTTGGGTCTGAAAAAGAGGACTACAAATCTTGTTGAAGACGAAATCTTAAAGAGATTTTATTTCGTTGATTCCCAGCTTTATAAAAACAAAACTTTTCTCACTCTCTGCTGTGATTTAGTCCGCCATCATTGTTCTTAAATATTTCCGATCAAATATATGTATTCTAGATTAGAACAAGCTAAAACGATCTTACCGTGTCCGTCTGTCCTCGCGTTTGTCTGTGTAAACGCGTAGATATCGGAAATTAAAAAAGTTATAGTCCTGAAATTAAATAAGTTTTCTCACATATCATAAGCAGAACAGGTTTATCATTATTCTCCCATATCATTTTCCAATTCCATAATATCCAAAAATGAATATAGATACATCGAATTTGATATGAAGGTTCTTGTATGGTATACACAGCTGGATACTTCACTTTTTGGATACCTTATCCTTGTATTTAGGCCAAAGTTCTCTTTTTGACATAAAGTGGACATAAATTAAGAAGCTCAAGCGCTGCGCAACAAGCGACATGCCCTATGTATACATATTAAAGGAAGCTAGCAAGTCTGTAAGAGGCATCAAGGCAATCATCTACTCAACAAAACGCTACAACTATCAGGCAAGCGCTCTCTCTAAACAGCAGAAATCAATAAAGCTGCTCAACTGGTTCTACAATAGTTAAGTATGTTGAAAGTGGTCAACTGAATCGTGTTAACCCACAGTAAGTAGATCTACCGAACACTTTAGACGTGCCGAGCCGCGTCTGTGAATCGAACGTGATTCATTTGAAAGAGGAAAATGATATCCTACGTCTTAGCTATATATTTACTTCTGATCGTTAATTCCTGCAAAGCATTACGTAAGTACATTAAACTTACACATCTGCCAAACTACCTTAACAAATACATTTTCTATTATGGAATCACAGCAGAGGAAATCAAGAAATGTCGGTTTGGGGACGATAAATGCATAGTTGAGTCAATAAATGATATCATAGGAAAATATCCAAAAGGAATACCTGAAATAGGCATCAAGCCAATCGATGTGGTTGATATAAAGGATACAGAACTCTTAAAAACAGATCGAACTGGAGTTTACTGGGCGGCCGTCAAGTTGATTAACCAAGTCAACTATGGCTTCGAAAACACAACCATTACCAGCGTTGAGGGCTTCGAAAAGAATCCCACAGCCAGCCAAATAGTAATCTCTGGTCGCATACCCACTTTGGTGCACAAGGGCACTTTGGACGCAAACATTCGGATCTGGTGGGTTCAATTGAATCAGACCTGTAAATCGATATCGGAATTTCATAATATGTACTTCACCTTAACACTGAAAGTCTCACTGGAATTTCGGAATAATAAACGATACCTGAAAATCTACGAATTGAGTCCAACTGTGAAAATCGATCGGTAAGTGTTGATACGAACAAAATATTCGATAATGTCTGACTCTGCTTATGTCACAACACCAGCTGGATTTTAGAGATTGAAAGCCTTTTTAAAGAAAACACCGATCTTACCATCTTTTTAAATCGGTTGTTCAACCAACGATGGACTGAGATCTGGAATGAATGGGAACCAAGAATATTGGACACATTTGCCAGTGTCTTTATCGGCATGATAAAAGATACATTCAATCAAATTCCTTACGACGACTTGTTTCTGCCAGATGATAATTGATCTTGATGGGATATCCTATAGTTCATCCTGTTATGATATGACAACGTATCAAGTTTTGAAAAGAAATAACTTGTTTTGGCTATTTTGCAGTTTTGGGCTATCAATCTGTAGAGTTATTTGAATTGGGCCGATAATTGTCTTAGTTATAGTTAATAGGTATATAAATGCATTAAATGCATTTCAGATCCCAAAAATCATATGTATTCTTGGTCAGCATCAATAGCCGAGTTGATCTAGCCATGTATTAGCTATCGGATTCGGTTTCTTGACCACATCTTGGAGCTTTTAAGGGGTAGACATACAAAATTTTGGATGTGATAACCTTCCCCGTTCAGGGAAGATGAAGCACAGAAACGTGTGTGTGTCTTTCTCTGTTTTTGTGAATAATAGATAGAATATTAGAAGTGCGAATGTTTCAGGGTATCTCCTAGTCAGGCACTCCCAACTAGAGCACTCGTACATGTTTGGTTTAATTCGTATATTTAATTTTATTTGTTAATAAATATTCCTAATGAAATGAGTTAATAAAAGTACCGATACAACTATTATGCAAGCGCTCTCTCACTCTCAAGAAATGCCGTGTATAAGCTGCAAAATGCAATAACAAAAAAGGCGGTTCAACTGGTTCTCGAATAGTTAAATATGTAAAAAGTGGACAACTGAATCGTGTTAGCTTATTCTTAGTAGAGCTACTAAGCATTAAGCACGTGCCGAATCTCGTCTGTGAATCGAACGAGCTATCGTTAAAAAGAGGAAAATGATATCCTACGTCTTGGCTATCCATTTACTTCTGATCGTTAATTCCTGCAAAGCATTACGTAAGTACATTGCCAAACTTTTCCAACAAATACATTATCTATTATGGCAGCTGAGGAAATCAAGAAATGTCGGTTCGGAGATGAGAAATGCATGGTTGAGTCCATAAATGACATCATAAAAAAATATCCAAAAGGAATACCCGAATTAGGTATTAAACCAATTGATGTGGTTGATATAAAGGATACAGAACTCTTGAAAACAAATCGAACCGGATTTATTTGGGCATCAGTCAGTCTGAGTAATCAAGTAAACTATGGCTTCGAAAACACAACCATTACAAGTGTCAAGGGATTCGGAAAAAATCCCAAGGCCACCCAAATTATAATCTCTGGACATATACCCACTTTGGTGCACAAGGGCACTTTTGATGCTAGTGGACGCCTCTGGCTGGTTGAAATGAATCTGACTGGCGACTCGATCTCGGAGTTTCAAAACATGCGCTTCACCTTGAAGCTGAAAGTCTCAATTGAATTCCGAAATCATAAACGATACCTGAAAATCTACGAGCTGACTCCAATTGTCAAAATCGATCGGTGAGTGCTGATTAAACAAAATACTAGATTGTGTAACTTAACTTAAGTTCCGACATCAGCTGGATTTTAGAGATGGGCAGCCTTTTTACAGAAAACAGCGATCTAACCATTATTCTAAACCGTTTGTTCAACCAACGTTGGATCGAGGTGTGGAATGAATGGGAGCCAAGTATATTGGACACATTTGCCAGTGTCTTTATCGGCATGATCAAAGGTACGTTCGATCTCATTCCTTACGACGACTTGTTTCTGCCAGATGTCATTTGATTCTCCTACATTCTTGTGCTAACCTTAACAAGATCAGTAAAGTTTATAGAAGTTAATATTGTAAATGTTTCGGTTCTGTTCTGCTATAGTATATCCTCACAGAATTATATATCTGTAGAGATATTTTGACTGGACCGATAGATGTCTAAATTATAATTATTATTATAGCATTATTAGGAAAACAAATTGTATGTTAAATTTATTAAAATTCAAGTAAATTTTTGATTAATTCTTTGAATTTAGCTATAAATAAGTAAGTATAGAAAAATAAGAAATTATCGATTAATTCTAAGTTGACTCTTGGAAATCTTGGGACTCTATGTACTTATTTATTAGTTTTCCCATTCCGTGCACTTCCTGAAAAGCTCATCAAATTAAACGATTCGCGGCCCAGCCTCTGTTGCGCCGTGCCAAATACGTAGGCATTTAGCGAAACGTTTATTTCATTATTACGCTGAAGGGGGATATCAGCGAAAAACCACTGCATTGGTAGCCGGCGCACAAAAGTCAAATTGAAAAAGTCAGAAATGTTTCCGGCATTTGAGCGCGAAACCCCAAACAAAGGCCCGAAGGGTGACCAAAGTGGCCCACCCACGGGGGTTGGCATCATTGCCAAAAGTAAAAACCGTAGCGGAAGGACTAGCAACAAACCAACCAGGCCCACCACCAAGCACCAAGCACCCAGTCAACCAACTCACTCAGTCCCGGCAAAAAAATATAAATAAACCCATGCCAAAACATGAGCGAAACAAGTTATAGTGCTCTGGTCGAGGGTGCTAGACTTGGCGATACCCTGCACCCAGCTGCGCACTCTATGAACTCGGATGTCCTTCACTTGCGACTAATCTATGGTAAGTTTATTCGTGAACAACTCCTGTGATTAATGAAAGATCCGGGCTTAAATATCGCATGCTAATATGTGAATATACCAAAAACCAAGAATATACTTCCAGGAACCGTCAATAAATATCGATAATATTGATAATTTAAAGGGTAAAGGGGACTTGGCTAGAATGACTCGGCTTATAATGCTGATCTCTTGATATACACGTTACGGGATTTAACTGACTGTTACATCCTAGTCTAACACGCCCATTCTAAATGAGTACAGGGTATCAAAAGGCTGGCACTTGTGCTGTGCGCCAACCCCCCGCGAGCCGACCTCAAATCACATGCATAAGGTTTTTAAGTTTCGTGCTTTGTCATATAAGTGCGTGGAGGACGATCTGTAGATACAGTTGTAAAGATATGGTAACAGGCGCATAATGTGACAGCATTTCCCCGATCCGGGGTGAGCGACAGCGAGACACAATAACGGTACACATGTTTAGGCGTTGCCAGCGGCTGATTACAATTGCTTAAGGGGGGGCTGTGACATACTCTCTCTATGCGAGGGTCGCGAGGGTGGCCAGAGAGGAAGCTGGTAAAAATGAAAAGACAAGAATATATAATATTTAAAAATATATAATATTTAAAATTTGTTGAGACCATAAATGCTATGGTATCAAAAAAGGTGTATTTAGTTTGAAACACATAATAGTTTGCAAATAAATTAAATAAATTAGAGCTCAAAACTTTCAGCATATTTAAAAATTAATAAAAAATTTGCATCAACGACTTTTCCTTAAATCCTAATTCTTTAAGCTAAATATTTTACAAAAATAATTTTAGTTGTCTTAAACATAAAATATGAAATATTTAAATGAATAAATTATTTCAGATTGTTCAGTCAGATTCTTAATAAGTCCTACGAAAATCTAAGCACATTCATTATTTTTGTGTATTTGATACTTTGATGTTAGAGTTAGTTACGATTTGCAGGGCTACATTTTGCACCTCAAAACTCCTCGCACCACCCCTTCGAAAAGTCTTTGTCAGTCCTTGTGAGGCATCAAACAAGTTTTGGTTGCCTGGTCCCATTTATAGCACCCAAAAACTGGTGTTACGTGACATTGCCGCCCATTTTGTTGACATTGCCGCCCACTCCGAATTCAACCCCACAAATGTTTAGATATCATTTTGCGCAAATATCGCCAACTAAAACAAAATGTTGCGCAAATAGTTGCCCGAGTAATTGGTACATTTATTTACCTATGTCCCCGTCCACCATACGAAGTGTACCCTGTACAGGCGGACCGAAATCAATGCTGCAGTTCATTGAAATGGCCGAGGAGAAATTTAATTAAGGCGGCCAGGTGACAATGCTGCAGGCAGGGGCCGCAAGTTGCCATAGGCCATCATAAATCAAGGTTCAAGTGCAGAAGAAAGGTGAGAGGGGAGGAGGGGCAAAACGATTGCTGCAAGTGTCGGCAACATGTGGCAGCCAAAAAAAATTGAGCTCAAGAAATAAGCGCCGCAGGGCCACAATCAAAGTAAAATGGAAACAATTTGAGAACTTCACGACTTTTTGACATGGTCAAGTTTAATTGAAAAAATAATACAGCCAAATTTGTTAAATAAAAAAGAACAAAATAACAAAAATTCAAATGCCAGCGCGACTTTTGGCCTGACACTTGACGCTGCGCAGCTGCTCATAATTAGAAATTGAAGCCAAAAAAAAAAGCAGCATTATTAATTTATTCTTTTTGCGTTTTTTAATTGAAATTTCCTTTTTATTTTTACTTCTCTTTTTAGCTGCTGCAGATAATTTTAATAGCCTGCCCCGCACAGTCCAAAGGATGCGCCGGTAATTGCCGTGGCAAAGCGGATGATAAGGCAAACGCTGGAGATTTAAGGTATTTGGGGGTAAAAGGGTTCACTTTTTACCCATCTTTTTATTAACAAATTTCGCTTTATTTACGCTGCACGTTACGTTATAATTAATAATTGCGCAAGGGAAGTTCAAAATACTAGCACAGGTTGCACGCCAGTTGATTAAATTTGACACAGTTTACGTTGATTTTGGGTAAGAAAAGGGTTCAAATTGTGGTTGATTTTTGGTGACATTTATGGCAGTAATTTATGTGGGCGGGAGATACGAGCGGAACGACGCCTCGTGGCCTTCTGTGAGTTTCAATGTATGAGGACTATTTTACAAATCTGATATAATACAATTTATCAACATGCAACATTTTGTTCACATAAAAGTCGTGTTTAAAAAAAATATAAAAAATAATTTATAACCCAAAATTCACCCTGCTAACAGTTGCTTAGCAGTAACATTTTTCTGTTATTGGATCACCTGTGTTAATATCGTTTGGGCATAACATAAGCAATTGAAATGGTTGGCAAGGCTAGCAAATACACGACCCGCAAATATCCAATTCACAAACCACATCGAATATGCTTGTTTGGTAAACTCAAAATAAAGACAAAAATCCCATTCGGAATTAATTCGAATTAGGTTGATGACTTGGAAAAAGGACAATTTACCAAGTGGTGTAAGGAATGTATGAAAATAAATTCTGGAATTTAACAATATGCTGACTTTTTAGTACAAAGCATAATTAGTATATAATTAATTGCATTAAAACTAAATGTCTGTATGGGTAATGAAGAATTATGAAGAAAGATTGAAAAAGACGCCCAGACAATAATGTCAATGGGCTTAACGGTTTCTATAATAGGATTAATTGAAGCGTCAATCAGCGCCTGCATGGAACATCAATTCCACAGTTTGGTTGTGTCATCCACCTTGGTTTGGCAGGAGGCCCAAGTGAAACTTCTTCCGATCTATGGATCTTGGCACCCGGTTGTATAACGCATCTCAACGTCGAGTAACTTCCGTGGAATCCTGATTAGTCGATGTACCAGATAATTAGCCTCTGGTAAGGCCTCGTACCAGCATGGATACTCGCAGTTTCAGCTCCAAACAGTTAAGGGTTGTTTACCCCAAAGGATTAAACATAGCTGCATGAAATAGTATGCAAATCCGCGAACGCCGGCATTACTAGTTGATCATAGATCATACCTCTAGGTGGCCAGCAAGGTGGCCAGACAGTAGCTTGCTTCTCTCATATTACTCATGTATTTTTATGTATTCTCTTTATTCTCATATTTGAGCATAATATCACGGGCCAATTTCATTTCATCGAGTAGTGCGCCCAGCTGGGCACATTCAATATTAACTATATGCGTGGTATCTTTAGGTAGTCCATCGACTAATTCTTGCGAGATTTTAAGTTCCAAGGTGGCGCAATTTGGGGGCGGTTCCCCAGGCGAGGTAACATTTCGTATGCTTTGCAGCTCATTAACTGAAAGTCGAGTGAAAGTTGATTACAAATGGATATCATGTGATATAGGAAACGACCTACTTCTAAATGCCTTATCTATAAGTTTTTGTCTTATGACCGTGGCATGCGCTTGTAGCACTCGGCACATGGCCGCCGCATGATCCTTGGGCAAGCCAAGCTGTTGAATTTCCTCGCCAAAGATTGTTTCGGTGCAGCTATACCGTGCCGCATTCGTCAGCATATAGTGAACGCAGGCAACGGCTGTTTTACCATCATTTGTAACGGACGAAGTGAGAGATCTTACAATAGCTTCCTGTGAAGTGAAACAAATTAGGTAACATTTTGAAGATTTTTTTTTTTGGAAGTTACTTCAAACTGTTTTCCGCTGATGCGTTTGGCCACTATCTGGGCTAGTTGCTCCAAGTTGTCGACGCTCAAGTTCGAGAGTGTGGATATGATTTCAGCTAAAACCCAATCAGGACAATCGCCATCGCCACAAAATCGAAATTTCTGCAAGAAGAAGGAAGTGGAATTGTGTTTAATTTTAAGATAACTAGCAAGTGCCTGAGGACTTTTTTCAAAAGCAGCTTTAAGCACGCTTCACAACTACTTGTTTGACCTTTTTCACGCCTACGCACTTTGTCATTCGTCATGTCCCAAGTAAATTAAAGAGCAGGATTCAACAAGTGGGCTAATCCAGAAGTTCGAGAGAAAAGAAAAAATGCGCAAAGTGTAGCATACTCGTATTTGCATATGATTAATTTCATGCGCTTGCCTGCTAATCAGCGAGCAATTTGTACAACTGGCTGACAAGGCTGCCAAAAGGGGTGCACAACTGTGGGCTGTGGTAGGGGGCGGTGCGGGCGGCTGACTGCCACAAGCTAATGAGCAGCTTGTGACATATAAAGGCGACTCGCAGTGGCACTCTGTTTCAAGTGAACGTCACGTTTATCTACGGGCAGGATTAATAAATTTAAAACGGGGGAACGAAAAAAAAATATACAAATGAGCAGCAGTTAGCAGCTAAAGCAGCAGTACGCCGTAAATTTATGACACTTGTTGCTGGACGCAAAGCCAACCCCCACACGGCCCATAGATCTGAACAGCCGTGCCGCTGCTTATTAGGACTCGCTCTTTAGCCGTGTGTAACGGCTTAGAAATGTAAACGACAACGACAACGTTTTATAATTATTTTATGAACTTCAAAGTTGGCAGTCGTCTGTGGGTGGCTCGGACTACCTCGCTGCTGGCGGTATATAAGGCCATTGAAAGTGCCCTTCGAGTGAACAGTTGCTCATTGCTAATCTACGAGTGCGCGCGTTCCTGGTGCCCGTGCCGCCGAAAAGTTTTCTAAAAGGATTTACAAACGCACATCAACTGCATCAACAAGGATGCTGTCCACTTGGCGCTTGCTGTTGCTGTTGGGCATTTGCAGGCAGCTGTATGCTCTGCCCACGCACACGTCTGTGGATCTGGAGCTGAATACCTGCGAGCTGCAGTTGGCCAAGTATCGCAAGTTCATTCTCCAGGCCATACTCAGCTTTGAGGATGTGTGTGACGCGTACAACGCTCGTCCTGTACCACCAGAGGATGCCCCACTATCCGAGACCTGGCTGTTCCATCAATATGCTCCACCACCAACATCCCAGCGCGGTGAGATCTGGGCCTTCTTCAAGCTGCTAATGGCACAGTTTAACGATGTTGAGTTCGCGACCATCATACGAGATGCGGTCATAGAGCGCTGTCGTTTCAAGCTCCAGCGGGACGACAAACGCAATTCGGTTGTTCTGGGCAAGAAGCAGCGGTTCCATTCCTGGGGCGGCAAACGTTCGCCGGATCAAGCAGCGGGCGGACAGCTAATCTCATTGCCCGAAGCAGTAGCCGGCACAGGCATAGAACACAATTATTACTAATCACCAACTTTTCATTGCCCGCATCGGATATGGCACAACAGGCTATTGTTCCATCTACTACTTCGTTCCAGAAATGTATGAAATGTCAATCTATCAATTAATTACAGCACTAGCTCTAAATGTTTACCAACAAACAATAAAACGCAGCGAGAGGTTACTTACCATCCTTGTGGGATTGTTTTTATTGAATCTTTTAATACTTTTGTTAAATCTTATTAGGAACGCTAAACAAATATCGACTACCTCCACAAATATATCGACTAGCATGTTTGCTATTCACATGCTATCGTTTGGGTCGTTTATTTCCCGTTCGATATATCGATACAGAAAGTGGCGCCCTGTTTAAAATGTTAGTTTGACTTAAAATAAGCTCTCAAAATATATAAAAATAGCATATGCAAATATTTATCATTAGTATCAAAATGCACTATTCTTTGTGCTCCTACACAACAGTAAAGAAATTCTAAAATATATCAATTACTTTACATTGTTGGGCACTTAGATACTAATCTACGATTAACGCCTTCAAGCAACACCCCCAAACACGCCCATTTGTAATCACAACTCGTCTCAAAATGCTGCAATCAAAAACTACTTGTAATTATTTTATACAGAAGCGCTTTGCTGCGATAAGGACGCCTCAAAATGATAGCCACGCCCTGATAAACAGAGTCGAAAACGGATTGAATTTGCTTTAGCCGTCGACACGACACAACAAATCCATAAACCTTGTCTATAAATACTTACATACCATACCTAGCTCGAGTGGGAGGTAAGGGAAATAAAAGCTGCAAGCTGTCACTCACATTGCATGTGCTTTAAGTTATCTCATCTCGGCTGTGAGGTTCATCAAGCCTTTGGCTCTGGGAACACGCTCAAAACAAATGTTAACTAATCGCGCCTGGGCCATGCCACAAATCTGAATTTGAAAAGCCATTAAACTGATAATCGAAAAACAAATCTACAAATAAGTAAATCACAACGTATACGATTTTCTATCTGCTTTTTTGCTGATTCGATTAGACTGCGCCACTGTCAAGCTGTGAGACGCCCGCCTGGGGAGCTGGCGTGAAAGGTTGGGCATTTCTCGAACATAAAATACTGATTACAGTTCGATTAGGCTGATCAGGTGGGTGGGTTTTTAATAACAAATCCGTGTCTATATGTGTATAGGTATCTGTTTGTCTGACAGTTTAACTGACTGATTTTCTAATCCAGAGACTGTCCAAGCCGTGTCAACACTTTTCCCGAAATCCAACCCTTTTGGGGGAAAAATGGGGATCTAAAGTTTGCTGTGTGAAGATTTCGTGCGATCAACTCCAAACTTACCTTCGTAGCCTTACATTTCAAAGCAAAAAATAAATGAAGTTGCTCCAGCGATTTGGGAATTCCATCTGCAACTACGGAAATTTGGAAAATTTGAATTTTGGAAAATTTGAAATTTACTATTCAATCGGATGGAAGCAGGAACTGTGAATGTTTATTTGAGCAGTCTTTCATACTTTTCACAAAATTAAACCCTTCATGGTGAAACTATAAAGGCAAAAGTTTTATAGATTTGTTTTATATATCAGTTTTATATATCAAGGCTCAAGTTGTGTACTTTCGGCTTCAAAGAAATTGTCCAAGCTTTAAATTTTAGAGGATACGTAATTTCTAATGTGCCGGGCAAAGCCGAATACCAGCTGGTACTTTATATTTAAACTCATTTTTTTATTCGCTATTCTATAAGCATTTCAAAGGGCGAAACGGAATTCTAAAAATAATAGGGCTTTGTTAAGCGCTGCTATATTTAAATAGCTTCTGAACCCACGAACCCAGCTTTTTAAGCGCATTAACTGAGGCAATCTAATTGCGGAACTAAGTCGCAGCTAATCAGGTCGTTTTGCATTCCTAGTACAGCCCCCGACAGTCGCTTTTCAGCTTTGTGACACGTCCTGCTCCCCCGTAAGCCGGAGGGTAAGTCAAAAGCCGGGCGTGGGCTATCTGCCACTCATTAGACAAATATATGCAGTCAAGACCTGAACTTTTAAATGCGCCATAAATCTCATCACCCAAAAAATTGAAAACGTCTTATCAATGTTTTTTATTTGTTCAAAAATGAATAAATTTTATGTGGGGTCTAGTCGAAAATATGATGCCACCTGAGGCGCCGGTCAAATCAGTGTTATAGCTTTAATATTTTCAACATCCAACCATCGACCAGATAACATATCATATAAACAAATTCAAGCTAAATGAGAACTATCCAACGCACTTTCGTTAAATGTTAAATGCTGAACTTATGTCAAACTGATGCTGCAAGCAAACTATTCAAACTCGCATCCACCAGTTAACCCAAAGAATTTTGAAATCATTTTTTGAATCGCGGCTTCGCGTCTTTTAAATTATGAATTCATAAATAAATTCATAAATCTCACAATTAATGCGCTTTTAAATGATGTGCATCAGAAATTGTATTACGTTTAATTTGTATATTAAAAAAAAAATTTAAAAGCGGATGACAAAAAAAAATGACGCCGACAAAGATTTCAGAAAACAAGAAATAACAGCAAAAGATTTTATATAAGTATATTAGATGTTTTATAATGACAGACAATGTCTTAAACAGGTAGGGGGAACTCAAAAATAATTAAAGGGGCTCTAGGGACTAAGAGATACCCTCTACCCAGCTATATTCAGTTGCAAAAATTCATGTCTCCGTGGTGGAATGTGGATTCAGGTTTAAATTCATTTCCAATTCAATAACTTTCTTGCATATTTTTCATTTTGCATCTATCTTATCACCCCTCTTTCTCTCTCTCGCACACACCTATTCTCTTTCTCTCTATCTCTCTTTCAATCTCTTAATTGCAAAAGCTGGTCATCAAAAAAACATAAAAAATTGGGGCAACATGTACATAAAGCTGATAGTAAGTTCCAAAATCAGCTGATTAAATAGTCAAAAGAAAAAAAAAAAAAATATACAAGTACAAGTGCTCTAGTCGGGAGTGCCTGACACGAGTATACCCTGTACCTGTACTTCATTTGCAGCTGTTCTTCTTCGCATCGTCCCATTCTTTTTATTTCCAATATTAACGACTTTCTGCAGACGGACAGTCTGAGAGCCTGTTCCCTGACAAAGAACATGTACTTTAAAGAGTCGGACTTGTACATAACTATTTGGTTATGTTCCCACCCATTTTCTATGAGTACTGGGTATAATAAATAAGAAATAACAGCAAAAAATCAGGTTTAAATTTAGTCATTGAACTTATTATTTGAAGAGGAAGAAGCTGAATAGCCAATGATAAGCATATTCATAGTGCGTCTCTTGTCGCGCGACCGGCTAGCAACAACAAATGTTTGTACATAAAAAGAACCCAAAAGACCCCACATAACAATTAAATGATTAAACTAAAAACTTGATTAGCGCCCGATTAGATACACTAATGAACCAACGGAGACTGGAAAGCTGTCCACAAATACTCTCACCCAAGCATCTCGCCTTCCGCCGTGGGCGTGCAGGCATTCAGAAATATTAGCCTCATGTTACACTTGCATGTTGACTTATTTTTATACCCTGAATCCATACGTGGGCGACAATTCAAGTTACATGCTGAACAAAGCTTCATCGACCACATCAACAGCAAGTTTGCATAGCCATATATTTCTGTCTACCTCTCGGTCCACGAACGCGTCGATCCAGTCTTTAAACTGAGAGGACAAAACACAAATGCAGATTATTTTTTGGCTTTCCCCAAAATTGAATAAAAACTGAAGCTATGATATGGAAAACATACCTATCATAAAGATAGGACTTAAGCATAGAATTGGGAATATTAAAATTTGCTCCATTTCTGGCATCGCAAATGAACGATATTAATTATAATCAATCGGAAAATTAATTAAACACTCTTCAGACAAAAGTCTTAGGGAAGGAGTTTTCCACTAAATTCATACATAATATGTCCTGTGTGAAATTTAGGTCCCCTGCTCTTAGGATTTGGGCTATGCCTTGGTCAGCAATCTGTCAAACTGCCAGTCATATGCTTCCCCTGACAATCACGCGTTATGGGAATGCACCATAAGTGCCTACACCTACGACTATTGATATAATATTCGTTGCTGTCAATCACAGACATAAAGTCTGTTCCATTGACGTCACAAAGTTGCCTTGCAATATAATTTGTAACAGATCCCTTTGAACCCGGTTTGCAGATAAGACCGCCGACCCTTAGCATTGTACTGCGCATATAAATACATACAAGACCAAAGGCCTTTAAATAGAACATATTACGTTAACTGTTTATTTAAAACCTTTTTTACTGACTGATTGCGTATCATTTCGGAAGTGTCTATCTTCTATATTCTAAGTGTACACTAAGGCAAGGTGTTGGTGCATTCCTCCTGAGAGTAAGAAAATTAGAGAAAATTATTAATTGAAGTTCCTTTGAAAATTAGTTTAAAAGTGATTGAATGAAAAAGTTTCTTGTAATGAACCTTTTCTAATCCCTTATGTAACTCAAAAAAACTACCTTGTACAATTCTACAATTTAATATTGGGCAAGTTGGATGGAAGTAAGGATCACCAAGTGCGCAGATCAATCTGTCAGTCGTCTAGAAGTTATTATAGAATTGCATTTTTCCTCTCACTTCGTTTTTAAAGGCAACGACAACAAATTGTAAAAATTGAAATTTCCAATCGTATCGGTAGTTATTTATAAACGACTTTATGAAGACGACCATATAACGTTAATCAGCTTAAATGTGCCCTGATAAGCTGAAAGGTGACCCACTTGAGACTAATGTGTTTTTTAAAAATGTCAGACATAAAAGGGGCATGCTAAAAATGAGAACTACCTAGTATATGTGCTCTATATACAAAGTTAGTTTCAAAACCCGATGATAATAATTATAATATTACATCTTTTCGTCATAAACTTAATTCTTTTAAATCGATATATTTTTATTTGTAATTAGGAATTAGGAAATTATTCATATTCAGAGTATTGCAATTATCGATAGAACAATATTAGAAACCAATACATTTTGTAATATTTTCCAAAATATGATATTTTTAACCATCTTTTGAAGAAATGGTTCGGTTCTGGTTTAGCTTTGGCTGTTCTCTACTCAGCTAACCCGGCCCAATGTACGGCTTATGGTGAAGAAAAAAAATAGTCATTCCGGGCATAATCCGGTTCGGCTCGAGACCTGCTTGCAGCCTCACTTTTTACGCCGTCTTACTCTTGGTAAAGAAAGCAATCCTCCAGACACGAAGCCATTTGCTTCCAACCAAATAAACAAAACAATTTGCCAGGCATACA